CCGTGTCGGCGGTCTGGAAGATCATGTTGATGGGGGGGGGGGGGCTGGTCGGTTGATGAAGGTCCAACAGCCCCGGGATCTGCCGAGGCCGACCTTGCTTCCACACCAATGATGATGGAGGGGTGTTGAAGCACACGGTTTCGCTGTATTGGTTGAAGTTGAACTCAAGGCTTCAGAAGTAGATGGTGTCAACGGAGGAGGGTAGCGAGCACCCTTGGTTGTCGACTTCGAGCTTGAAAGAGTCGAAGGAAAGTCTGGCCAGACATGAAGTCGTCGGGCATGTACAATGATCCAACCTTAGTTCGTTCTCCGACCAACATAGCCCTCGCCCGAAGCGCCAACGAACGGTACGTAGAACCGTCAATACCCTCACTAGGGTGGCGAACGCGGCCGGAAGTATCATAACGGAATTCACACAAAGTGGTTACCCAGGTTCAAGCCCTCTAGCAGAGGTAATACCCTACATCCTGCTTCTAATCTGCATTCATGGCATTACCACGTGCAAGAGATTACAAGAGAATGATGTATGACTACCGAGAATATGTTTCTACAATAATAGATGGGATGGCTACCCCTAGCCCCCACCTTATATAGAGGACAAGGGCTAGGGTTTACACAGGAATCCAACCGACCTCTAGCCGCCACTATCTTGGCTTGTAGTAGTCCAAGATGGCGGTCGAGCTCTATCCAGGTCTCCAGGCTCCTTCCTGTTGTCGGGTCCCCTCGAGGCCGCATGGGCCCTGTGGTGGGCTCCCCCTCGGTCAGCCACCCTCGATGTACTGCACAGTCATTCCCTATCTCCACCTTCCATGTGCCACTATCTGGGAAGAGAGGAGGGAAGATGGTAAGAATACCATACGGACAAATAAGGTGATATGTAAAGTTGAAATATTATTGTACCAGCGTTGTTGCACACCGCTATAGTACCTTCAAGATAATACTACCTCTCTCTCAGTTTACAGAGCGTGCGCGTATACCTAGATCGTCAATTTAACCAACCTAATACAAGTCATATATTACAAAAAATATACCAACATAAACTTTGGAGTTTCTATTTTCAAAAGGTTTAATTTTTGTGTTATACAGTTTATATTAGGGTGATAAAAATGGCAACCTAGATATACGCGTAGGACTTGTAAACTGAAACGGAGGTAGTAGATTCATATCCATGAGAGCTTTTAATGCTTCAACGACTTGCTGCTTGTATACTGGAAAGGCGCGTCTGAAACTTGTCTCTTAGTGTTAGCAACTCTTTCAAAGCATCTCCAATTTGCATGCGGTCTGTAGGAATTTCCATTGAACATGAAACTCCAATATTCAGAATTGAAGTGATGCAAGCAATTGTTATATTTCCTCTTCTATCAGGATTTGAGGTGTTTGTTTCTCCATCTTCGTCCCTTAATAATAACTTGTGGTCCACAATATTGGCCACTCTTTCCGCAAGTGCATTCTGAATATATCTGTGAAGGCCTAGAGCTTCTCCAAGCTCATCGTCGGTTGGTCTTTTCCCAGTAAACATTTCCAGCAACAGTACACCATAGCTATACACATCACCCAGGATTGAAACTTCGTTGCCCAGACCATACTCTGCAATCATCAAAACAGAAGAATTTTAAGCATTGAAATTATGTGTAAAAAACGTTTGTGCATTTGTATTATCTCAGTTGACGAGTGCTATGAATACATATTTATATGATGGCGTACTTTTGATATTTTGGGGGAAAATTACGACAGACAAATGACTGGCATACCTGGAGCAGCATAGCCAATTGTTCCTCTCATGGCAGCCCAGCCACTTGATTCTCCTAAGAAATCACTCTGGTCTTGATGCAGGGCTCTTGCAAGGCCAAAGTCACCAACATGAGCAACCATGTCATTGTCAAGGAGAATATTGCTTGGCTTGAGATCACAGTGAATAACTGGCAATGGCCTGTGTTGGTGAAGATAATCCAGTGCAAAAGCCACATCAATGGCGATGTTGAGCCTTGTGATGAGATTTAGCACCGTGTCTTCATTTTCTTCAAGAGGCTTGTGTATCCATTGATCTAAATTTCCATTCGGAAGAAATTCATACACAAGAGCCTTGAAATCCTGGCTCTGAAAATCCATACTTGAGCAGACTGTCAAGATCTTCAGAAGGTTTCGATGTCGAACACATCTCAAGGTCTCACATTCTGCAAGAAAACTTTGAGATGCACCACGTTGTTGGAGATTGAACACTTTCACAGCAACAATGACCTGCTGCTCATGGATCACCATTCTTCCCTTGTACACCGAGCCGAAGCTTCCTACTCCGATGAGGTTCTCGGAAGCAAAACCATTTGTTGCACTGGCTAATTCAGCATAAGATACTCTGATATGTAAGTCATTGATGGGTGACAGGTCTGCCTTAGCTTGGTGTGACTTGCTCCGGCTGTACCAGAAAGCGAACAATGCTAAAATGAAAATAAGCAACAGTACTGCACTGCTTATGGAGATTATCATGATAAGCTTGAAGGAACGTTTCTTGGTGGTCTGGACGGAGCAGAGATGCAACTTCATTGCAGGGATACCCCCACACAGTCCTAGATTTCCATCAACTGAGGTTGCATTCACATCAAGAAATATTCCCTCTTTTGGGACCTCACCTTCAAAGTAGTTGAATGACAGGTTCAAACTACCAAGGCCTTTTATATGCCCAAGAAACTCAGGAATTTCTCCCGACAAGTTGTTATGTGAAAGATCAAGTATTTCAAGGCCTTTCAGCTGCCCCATTGATGCTGGGATTCCACCTTGAAGGAAGTTCATTTGCATCTGTAAAAATTGCAGGCTTTGACACTCACCAATAGAGGCAGGAATCTCACCAGAAATTTGATTATCAGACAAATCGATGCCTGTAATATGTTTCAAGCTACCAATCTCCAGTGGTAGTGACCCATTAAACAAGTTGCTTTGGAAGTACATGAAGTCAGATAAGGTAGATATGAGGAAGATTTCCTTTGGAATCGGACCACTGAGCTTATTGTGCTCGAGATCCAATAGTTCTAAAGGACAGCTCCTAAGGCTGGATGGAACAGGTCCATCAAGTGAATTTGATCCAAGAGCGAGTTTATTCAATAATGTGAGATTGCCAAGGGTTGGCGGAATTTGCCCTGAGAGATTGTTCAAATCGAGGTATAAGTAGCTCAGCTTCTGGAGTCTACCAAGAGAGGAAGGAATATTGCCCTCGAAAGAATTGATGCTCATCAAAAGATATGATAAATTAACAAGGTTCCCGATGCCTTCAGGAATACTACCACTTATCATGTTGCTGGCTATCCTGAAAAAATTCAGTTCTGTAGAAAGATTGGCTACTGAATTTGGTAGCACACCTTGAAATTTGTTGGAGCCCAAATCTAAAACCTTCAGATGGCTGCTATTAGTTAAACTGGACATGAAGTCCCAACCATCATCTTCATTTGCATGTAGTTGATTTCCTCCAAAGGTCAGGATTGACAAACTTTTCTGGTTATCTCCGAGACAAGCCGGGATTGTTCCTGAAATCATATTCAAGCTGAGAAGACATATTGAAAATGGAAGAAGGAACTTGTCCAGTGAGATTATTCTGGTCTAGGTATAACTCGGAAAGAGCACGAAGGTTTCCGAGGGAGGAAGGAATGCTACCTGTAAAACTGTTCTCAGCGAGAACAAGACGAGCAGATAACAGATGAAGGTTCCCTAATGATTCGGGAATAGCCCCAGTTAAGCTATTAACTCCCAAGCTTAGGTATACGAGTGAGGAGAGGTTTCCGAGCCAGGAAGGGAGGCCACCATGAAGGTTGTTTTCTTGCAAAATGAGGACAGACAGAGATGACAGTGCTTGCAATGGCACAATCTCCCCTTCAAATCTGTTGGTTCCAAGATTAAGGGTAGTTAATGCCGAGAGGTTTCCCAAGTATAATGGAATCAGCCCTGTGAGTTGATACTCTCTAAACCTAAATCGCTCGCGTCGCTCCCTGGGGGCGGCTCGGGCGACCTAGCCGCCGCCGCCCCCGCTCCCCTTTCCTCCCTCGCTCCGCCCGCCACCGCCGGAGGAGGCCGACGGGCAAAGCCCACTCGGCGGACGGCGGTGGCGGGGCACCCTCGTCGTGCGCCGCAAGTCTTCGGCCCTGGACGAAGGCCTGCATCCGGCGGCGGCTGCGTCTGGCCATGCGCGGGCAAGCCGGGGCGGCGGCCCCGGGCTCGGCGGCGGCGTTGTTTCCTCCTCTCCCTCGTCGGGAGAGTGGGGGGCGGCGCTGAGGCTGGCCATCTTCGATCTGGTGCGGCGCATCTGGTGGCGTGCGGCGTGCCTGTGGGTGCGGCGTGCCAGATCTGGAGGTATTGCTCCTCTCCCTTCCATGCATCCCTTCCCAGTCCCCGGTTCGGTTTGGATCTTGCCGGATCCACCTCCGGTGTGTTCTCGTGGAGCAGATCGGTGTCCGGAGGAAACCTTGGCTGCCTTAGGCTGACCGGCAGCGGCGACGCCGATTTTTAGCGCCGCTTTCCTCCTTGGGGGCGTTGCTGAGGGCACCATCTCTCCTCTCCAACCCATGTCCGGGTGAAAGCCCAAGATCCGATGCGGATCGGGCGTCGGCGGCGCCCTGTGCACCGTAACCTTCCTGGAGGCGACGCCAAGGACATTGGGATCGGATGGAAGGGTCTGCAGGTGAGGGGTGGGGGTGTGCTGCCTCCCTTCGGTGGAGCGGTGTTTCGTTCTACATATTCTTGGCGGCGGCTCTTGGCGGCATGGAGCATCGGAGGCTTGGCGTCAGATGTGTGGTGACAGACACGCGCAGGAGGTCGACGCTGTCTGGCGTCGTGGTGGCGTCGGCGGCAGCGAGACCGGGCAAGGCCGTTACAACAGTTCAGCTTTGAAGATGGATATGTGGTAGGTGGTTGTGGCGGCCTCATACCCGGCGGGCGGCCTGGTTGAGGAGCACGCCGGACTGGTGGGTGCCCATACCCGGTAGGCGTCCAGGTTGGGACCTCAGGTCTTAGATGTTAGGTTTGGCTGCGAGGTCTGTTTGGTATTAGGCCCAGACCATCAGCGCCCCTTCATCAGTTAGATAGGAGTAGCGACAGAGGTTGCGAAGATGGTGGCTTTGTTCTTACTGTTGTACGACTTTGTAAGGTTTTGTGCTAATAATTAATAAAGTGGCCGTATGCATCGACCAGATGCAGAGGCCGGGGGTATTCCTCCTTTTCGAAAAAAAAAACAAGAGAAGAAGGGAGTGAACCTGTCAAGTGATTGTAGTTCAGGTCAAGACTTACTAGATTGGTGAGGTTGCCAATCTCTGAAGGGATCATTCCTGTCAGTTTGTTGTACTGCATCCAGACTCGGCGCAAGCTGAGCAAATGACCCATGTCTGGAGGTATTCCTCCGGTGAGGTTGTTGTATCCAAGGCTGATGCTCTCAAGCTGCTGGCACCGTGACAGTGATGCCGGGATGCCACCTTCAAAGAAGTTGTGGCTCAGGTTGACATGCCTGAGGTCGAGGAGACGGCCAATCTCCGATGGTATGGCACCGGAGAGACGGTTCATGGGAAGTTGTAGCTTTCTCAGGTAGGTAAGGTTGGCTACTGAAGGGGCAATAGCACCTGAAAGACCTAGGTTGCTGAGGTCCAGTGCTACGACACGCCCACGGGCGCCGCACGTTACGCCCCGCCACCGGCACAGAGGGAGCGACCGGTTGCCGCCCCATGAGGCCAGTGCTGATGCCGGGTCGCTGGTTATCAGCGACTTGATGGACACCAGCGGAGAGTGGTCGGTGGCGGCCTCAGCATTGTCCATGGGGACTGGCTGACCATCGGCGACAAGAACTGCGAAGAGAAGCAGCATGAGCAAGGAAGTGTACCCGGTGGCCACCATTGCCAGGAAGTAGGCAAGAGGATGGAAGGCTGCTTCCGCCTTCTGTTTTTTCTTCTCTCTCTCTCTCTCTGTGTGTGTGTGTGGCTGGTCACCTAGCTAAATAGTAGTAGTACAGGATTTTGAGGAGCAGCCAAATTGGACTGGTAGTGGATTGGTCGTTTTCCTGTCAAAACTTTTAGTCAATCAGATATGGTGGTGTTTCCTGGCCTAACTTCTCAACTTGCTAAATACAGTACAAAAAGTGGTGAGTCAATAAAGGGAAGAAAGTGCTTGTTTCCTTTCAAAACTTGGCCAACCAGATATTTTCATATTTCCTGGCCTAACATCTGGGCTCACAGTCAGGCTGCTGTGGTGCCGATGAAGTGTGCTGTTTTCTTCCTAAACCCCGAGATCGAGCATGAACTCGAATTTTTTTAAATTGAATAAACCTGTTAACTAAAAATCTGAAAATGTGAGTTCAGGATTCTCTCTTTTAGCCTCTTGGTGAGCTGATCCTGCTAATCTATCTACGCAATGGTGGTGAGAGATGGTGATGTCAGTACAAGTAGCTAGCAAGCATACCACATGCAGGGCCAGGCGAGGAGCCAGGTGCCGATGGGCTTGTCGAGCCGGGCGTGCATCGCGTGCGGCCGCGCCGCCTCCGGGACCCACGACGCCGGCGACAGCGGAGGGGGCGGGAGGCTGTCCTCCTTGTCCTTGGACCGGGAGGAGGTCGAGAGCTGGTGCGAGAAGCTGCTGGTGTGGGGCAAAGCGGAGATGGCCGGGAGAGGGGCGAACCGGGAGCAGACCCATGGATGGAAGCTCGAGCTGATTTTTTATTTTTTATTTTTTTGAGGGGAAGGAAGCTCGAGCTGATGGCTCGGCGTTGATGGCAGGTTGGGCTTTGGGCTTCTCCATCAGGCCAGTTTTTTTTTTTTTTTGAGGAACCATCAGGCCACTTTAGAGGCCGAGGTAGTGAGCGAATGTTTCTTTTGGCGGGCCCAGTAAGGCCATTGCGCCGGTGGGCTGTAAACTTAAACCGCTGCAGTGTTTAAAAACAAAAATTGAGTTGGTGCTGCTTCTCATGGGAAAAAATGGTTCTAAAAAAACTCAGAGGGGAAATTGTGCAATAAGCTAGCCACCCTCTTTCCCTCGAAAACAAAAAAGCTAGCCACCCTCTATTTTCGCTCTGGTGGGGCCGTCATGGCCTAAGAGGCTGACCCAGATAGATTATGTGCTGTTTTTGTCCCACACAATGGAGGCAAGTGTCATGTAGTAAAGCCCAGTTCGTTTAGTTGATCTACCGTTTTAAACTACGTGGTTTTTTCGACAATAGATGGATTTTATTAGCTTAAAATGGAGAATCAAAAAGATACGTAACACAATGAGCACACACCCGGTCTTTGCATAGTTAGGATGCACACATCCTACACCAACTCACACACGCGAAAAAACATCGACAAATGGCTGCAAGTCCAAGGACGTCGCTCCGCTCGTTTTGAGGCCTCCTTGAGGAAGAAATGGAAGGTGCGTGAGGACCTAAAAAATAATGCATGGATCCTCAAGATCAACACCTCCATGGTCGTATCCGTTGAACACATTCGACAATTCCTCACTCTATGGGCGCTTATAAATGATGTCCACCTTGATGAACATGTCGAAGACATCATATTGTGTGGAAGCACACGACAAGCGGGCACTACTCTGCGGCCTCCGCCTACAAGGCCCAATTTCTATGCTTGGTCCTCTCCCCCATGGATCAAATGATTTGGAAGGCTTGGGCGCCGCTAAAGGCTAAATTCTTTGCTTGGTTGGCTATCCAAGATAGAATTTGGACCACTGATAGACTTGCAAAGCGGGGATGGCCAAACTGTAGGCTTTGCACTCTTTGCAAGAGAAATCAAGAAAGTGGACCACATCTCTTGTTCAAATGCCGCTACACCATTCGGCTACGGAACTCGGTCATCGCGAAATTCGGCCTTCACCACTTGGACACTACTACTTTGCAGCTACATGATTCGGTAGAGGAATGGTGGACAAATAGAACTGGTGCCGGAGTCCCCGGTAGAAAGGCTATGGCCTCTCTTACCATGCTCGAGTCATGGACCATTTGGAACGAGAGGAATGCCCGCGTTTTTCTGGCAGAAGAGCGCTCCGCCACCAATCTTGCTCAACTTCATCGTTTGTGAGGCAAACCTTTGAATCACTGTCGGAGCAAAGAAATTAGGGGCTATTATTTTACGCGAGTAATCATTCATGCCGTGTAAGAGTGACTTCTGTAACAGATGAGGCAATCTTTTGCCTCCGTTTTAAAAAAGAAACGAAAAAACACCGACAACAAGCAAAGTCATACAAAAACTATGCGGTCTAATCTTCATCTATTATAGTTAGACAATAAAGCAGGAATTGAGTAGTTTACCTTGCAAGAGATGTGTTCCTGGGCACAATGCGTTCAACGGGCTCAAGATCTCATCCGATTGGAGTGGGGTAACTCATGTCGGTTTATAAAACTTACGATGTTAATCCCCTTGATGAGCGCAGTCACTGGCTGCCGCTTGTTTGTCACTATGGGTTTGCTCGTTCTGCTCCGTTTTTCTTCTTCTTGTTGGTTTTCTTTGTTTTTCCAAAGGTTTTCTGTGGTTTTTTCTTTTAGAATATGTTTTTCTTTGTGTTCTCACTAG